ACTGAAAGTATGAAAAAAAATCCTAATGCTTCACGTATGTAATTTTAATTAGAACTAAATTACATAGAAAACTATTCTTATAAACTTTTAAATTGTATTCTGTAAAAGATAATAATTGTAAAACAACAACACGTGTTCACAAGCTATGTATACTAACGTAAGAATTTTGACGGTTTTTTTTTATATTTTTGTAATAAAAATATTCATATTAATTTAACATTAATACGTTGGCGCTCAATATTGATGTCATCATCGGTCCTTTTACGTCCCCACTTCAGGGGCTCAGGCTTTCCCTTTGAATGGTTAAGGAGGATGGCCCTTCACGCTAGCCCAATGCAGATTGGAGGGTATTAACGACTGCAAATGCAGCCGGGACTAACGGATGAACGTGTTTTTCGAAGCACGGAGTAGCTGGAGATAAATTTTTTTTAATCACCCATCCCGTGATCGATCCTTGCGAAAATTGCTTAACAAACGATCGCGTGTCACGGCGGTTATCCACTGCGCTACCGAGCTACTCTGATATTTTATATATTGATATAGATACATATTTGATTAATTTATCTTCCAAAAATACATAATTTTCTTAAAAAAAAGAAGTTAGTCTCTCTTTAATCTCATCTTTATATTGTACAAGAATATGAAAAAAAAAACAAATATTCAGATGAAATTGCAGCATTAGAGTAGAAGATAACATCATTGGAGAATATGAATACTTTTACAGATAAAAAGATAGGAATACTTTAATAATAAAGTTCTTTTATAACTATAGAAAAAGCTTGCTTAAATGTTAAATAAGAAGTCAACAAGACTTTTTATTGAAGTGACTGGGTTTTGCTGAACAAATAACTTTTAATGGAATGGCACTGAGTGACTTGCTATTTTCGATTTTAGGGGTTGGCAGCAAAAACAGGGATCGGGAAAATAGACTTTTGACTTGTGAAATTATTAAATAGGTTTAGCAAACGACAATGATTCAGATAAACATCCTAGTTGATTAACAAATGCGATGGTAACGTTTGAAGTGAAATTGTATTGAAGATAATAAAAATATTTACATTTTATTTTCAGCTCGCTCATTTATTTATTTTTTGGGAAACAACACATAAAATACAATTAATTTTGGTAATCAGTTGCCTTAACATGTTTCACTGCTAAATAAAACACTAGAAATACTCGTATCTTGACTTTCAATCACACCACAAATAACCAACTCATATACTGTTATGGGTACATATTAAATTTCTGATTTCCGATTATATGGGTTGGATGACCACATACCAAAATTATATGAAATTGAATGATAAAACTTGAAATGTTAAAAAAAATATATATTGCGTAATGAACTGCAAATACTAATTGATGAGTCTCGAGTTGAATGTCGACTGAGTCTACATAACGAATGTCGGAATGAAATAAAATGACGACTCTAATACAATTTAAATGTAGGACATTGGACCGTACACCGATCAAAATAAAGAAGAATAATAATTATAAAGAAGAAAATGTATGAATACACTATATTATAGAAAAATAGCTGTTTTTCTGCGACTTTGGCTGCGTAAATTATAGCCCCCTGTATGCGTAGTTTCACGTAGGTGAATTTATATGATTTCATTATTATTTCCGCAGAATTATATAAACAAACAAGCAAAGGTTTACTTTTTCTCTTTATAATATGAGTACGTTATTTAATGATTATTTCTAATGTGTATTTTATTATTATAATTTCGAATTGGTGCAGTTCATAAAATCGAAAATATATAAGAGGCAACATTGAATAGGTTCCTTCTGAGCAAGCTAGTCCCACAGTAGATGTGAGCTCAGTCGAACTCAAGGACACGTATGAGATCTTATGGACAATACGTATGTGTAAAGTTAATACCTATATACTGCTTATAAAAAAAAAAACTTCGGCCATCACTGTCGGCAAGAGGGTGATGGCTGCTGGTAGCAGTTCGTCTTCTGACAGCTGTTACTAAAATTTGACTGTAATATCACCTTCCATCAATTGTATTGCCGCAATAAAAACTATCACTTGAGATGAGCTACCTAAACAAATTTTTAAAGATTTCAATTGCTTCAATAAAGGTTTATGAGGAAAGAAAAATACAAAAAGATGTCTGGGAATTTGAAAAATTAGGTGCTTTTATTTTATGTCATATTATCTACACTAATATTATAAGAAGAAAATATTACATTGTTTATTTTTAAAAACTTTCACCAAGGATTAGCTACATTATACGTGATCGACAGACTTTAATTTAGGCGTGCGAAATCGCGGGTAAATAGCTAGTAGGTACTATGAAATGTAACAGACTACATTTATTTTTTCAATTACTTTAGTATATATTTTTTCCATACAGATACTCTGAGATATAAAAGTATTATAATCGTATTATGGAATAGAAAGATTCCGAAAGTAATTAGACATATAATATTAAGGAAACGGGAGAATGTGACCGTATTTTGGGAAGCGTAACAATATCGGTTTGATTAAACATTATGAATGATACAACAGATGTGATCCGTATACAGGATCTGTATAATTAATCTTCTAAAGTGCAAATGCTTTAATCATTTACGAGCGAAACCAGACTCAGCGAATAATCTCTTAAGAATACTTAGTATGTAGAAACAATGCCTGATCAGACCCTTTTAAGGCTCACAAAACGTAACTCATGCCCTTGACTTTCAAATTTTTCGCTGTCTTAACACGATCACCGTTTTGTCCAACAGCGGAAAATATCTAGGAGGAAATACTCAAAAAGGTATTACAACCAAGTCCTGGTATATTGCAATCCCCGATTAATGTGCATAGAGACAAAACGAAAGGGATATTGCCTTTTTAAGTACCTAGGTTTTATTTGATGAAATACATATTTGGCTCTTTGTTTTTAACAGAATAGCACTATCAACTAGGCAATGACTATTTCACAAAAGCACAAGAAGGTATAAGGTACGTTTGCTAGCGTCTGAATGTGTTTTTTTTTTAATTAATTACTCTTAAAGCATAGCATTGTAAAATTCCGCAATGGCAACCTATAAATCTTGGCTACAATATAACACATATTCATCAGTTTTACCAATTATAAAACATTATAAATTAGGGAAATTTAATAAAAATTCAGAATTTTATAGCTTTTTTCATTTCTTTTTAGAATATTTTATCTTTTTCACAAAAGTGTTCTTAGTCTTATGATACGGTTTTCCCACTGAATTTTGTATTTATTTTCACAATCAGTTTGGAACAAAGGTTACTTTTCTCACTAATTTCTTTTCTTGTTCTGGGGTTTTAACCGAATTAATAATGTAATAAAGAATGGTCTTAAATACTGATAACATATATTAACAAATCACAAAGATTATAGTGAAATGTATTTTCCGAATGAATTCAACACCTAGTACATATGAATGAATAATAATTAATGTTCAATAAATTTATAGGCAGTAAGTACTTTAGCCAGCAATGAGCCCAATTATAAATATGACTTTTTAAGAGAAGGGTACAAAGCGAAAATGTATACAAATTTGTTTAGGATGAGGTTAAAATGTCCGTTACTGTTTCTCATGAATTTATGTTATTTATTTTTATATTACATAAATTGTTCATATCCCAATTAAAGTAGATAAATCTTGTACATAATATGGAACTCTGAAACAACGAAGATATTACAACACCCAGACACATGTTAATATGGAAAAGTTAGTTTTCTGCATTGACCTGACATGGAATCGAACCAGAAACCTCAGAGATGGCGACGTTTTAAATCCGCGCTTCAAGCATTCTGCCACGAAGGCAATCGGATATGATTTTGATGTTCGCAGGCGTCCTCACAGAGCGTGGTCGAACCACTCCTTTGGCGATCTTTCAAAGAACTTGTCTCTTTGTACCGCTGTATTGTGTAATAGATGAAGTTACGGCTTACAGGAAAATTTTTCAGCTCGCGGAAAATCTATATTAGTTTTTTTCCTGCCTCAAATAGCGAAATGACAGTTGCACGTAATTGTTTCGTTCCCTCCACCACGAGAAAATATAAACAAATGAATTCGCGACACAATTAAACTAAAAGTTAACATTCCAAATTAAAAATCGGTAAAAAAATAAATAACGGCCAGAAATATTTTATTTTCTTTTTTCAGTAAAAAGTTTGTCTCATAACTTATGAACACACGGGGTACATTGAACCATTTTACTTACTGCATCTTCTTTGAAGTTATACTAAAGCTTTTTAAATTCTTTCACCATTCAAGCTAACCAATGAGTCAAAAGAAAAGCTAAAACATATTTTACGCTGAACTACGCAACTCAAATAGAGATATTTACGAGAACAATATTCTATTTCATGCTTTACTTACGTCTAGGGGGACCGGATATTTTTAGCTATATTTGTGAACAAGTAAACAAGGAACCCTTTTAGTTCCGCGTTGTCCGTCTGTCCGCGATATTTGAGCTATATACTTCTAATATGGGGATGATAATATTTTTTCGTCTTCCCCATAGTGTTGAGCATCGTTAAATAGGTTTTTCAAAATCATTGGAGGTGTGAGCAGGCCGTTTTTCGATTTAGTAAACGGGATGTAACTTATTAAGTTTTAAAGAGCAAATTTTCTAAAAGTCAAGTACACCCCGCCCTCTACCAACTAAATGGTCGTTGGTGGAAATTCAAACATTGTCGTAACGTTTGAATTTTTAGAAGAGTTAGTAGTTAGTAGTAATGGTGCTTTGAGGTGTGATATATCTATACTAATATTGTAAGAGGAAATATTTCAAATTTTGTTTGTTTGATGGAGATAATCTTCGGAAATACGGATCCGATCATAAAATAATTTCACCTACGGGAAGCTATTTCACACGCGGGCAATATAAACTATAATTTATTAATATAATTTAAAACAGTTACATTTATAATAATATACTGAAATGAATCAGCTTTTAATTATGTTGCGAATTAGGTAAACAACGATATCTCAATGGATTTAAAGGATCGGTTTTATAATTAATGAAAACAAATTTCCGAATTCTCACCGTCAGCCGGAACGTAAACGTTCAAATACAAACAATCCTCGGAAAACTCCTTTTTCCTTGGCTGCTCCAATTGCGAATCGAGTAGCTTCATAAACAGTTCATCATGTTTGTTCCAAGTCCTTTGTTGTACATCGTCGCTTTTCGCCTCACTTTGCATACAATCTGGTGCGTATAAAGTCGCATTTCGCACCCCATCCCACGAAGTCAAAACAGTGTACTCCGGTGCCATAAACCTTCTGAAGTCGATCGGGGGCTCAGCATATGGTATTCCTAAATAGGCGGCGATTCTCTTTGTTCTGAACCTCGTTATGTACATTCCTGCTATTGTCCCTTGATTGGTTAAATTTATTTGTTTAGGCTCTCTAGCTGACAACGCGAGTGTTATTAGAACGAGCAATAATACAATACGGATCATTTCGGCCGGATTCGAAATTCGATTTACAAATTTTAATTAAAAAGTTTTATTATCAACTATTTTTAAAAGTATTGAGACTGAACTCTATTTTTGAATTCGGTTAAGAGAGGCATTTGTTTTAAATGTAAAAGAAACACGAAGTTTACATTAGTTCTTCGTTTAAAAATAAATCGTTTTTGAAAACACCGGTTTGCACTGGATATTAGCCGTTCAGCCTGGGTGGTGGGCGGCTTGGTTCGACGGTGGTGCGTTACTGTTCTCGTGCTAAGTTCGGCTCGTAAACAGTGGGGCTGTTGGTCGTTATAGCGACCAAGGAATTGCTTTTGTGAACTCGAATCGGCGTAGAACTGGCCACCTATGATTTGTAACTTCTAAAACATATAGAAAAAGTAAAGTTATCCAATTACATTTTTGTTTTATTTAGAAATTTGAAAATGAATGAATTCTAAAAGGAATTGAATAATGTTAATCAATCAACCCTTTCCTAAATAAACTGAAAACTATATCAATTGAAATACGAAAATCCTTACCGTCGGCAGTAATTAAATTTCACTGGGGAATTTATTTTTAGAAGCTTAAATTGTAAACTTTTAATTGTTTTATTTAAAATTAATTAGTGAAATTGGATAATAGTCAGATCAATTATTAATCTAGTAATCTGTTAGATAAATCTTGTTTGCTTCTAGTCATTTCTAAGTGTTTGTAAGTGACGTTAATGTAAGCAGGCGGTAAGCTTGAGACGCCCGCCGCTTGCGTGACTGAAGCAAAGCTCGAAGCCATTGCATTGCTCCCGCCATTGACGTCCGCCTCATCTGTTTCAATGTGGGTCATGTTCAGTGACTTTACATCGATCTGCGAGTACGATTTTCATGTCTTTGTTTTCCTTTTTTTTTATTGAGCATGAAAGGGTATCTTTTGTTGCATTAATATATTAATTTTTTCAACAAGGCAACGTTGTATTTTTATTTCTATTGATTTCCAATTCAAGTGGTCGCTGTTTTATCAACATTTGGCCATAAAATTTAAACATTGTTAAAGTTTTAATACCTAACTTTCCATCAGTAGCTTCGCTTACGTGGTCCTCTATTATTTATATAAATCTTTTTCTCTCTGTATAATGCCACTCTTTATGTCACAAATCACTCTGTATATTGATGAAAATCGAACCAATATATGTTATGAAATTATTGTTTGTAGTAGAGATTGTTGTTTTACCTCTATAGTAATATGTATAGACAACTAAACTTTGTCATTTTTTGATATTTAGTGATAAACAGAAAATGTCGACTGCAAATGGTAGCGTGTAATGTTTCTAATGGTAGTAATACTTTAGTAAATAGGGCTCCGAAGTTTCTGCTTCACGTATTAATATATAATTAACATTTAATGTTAGTAAGTTCAACGATCAAATCAAAAAGTTTTCTTTTAAAATAAGGTTTTAAGTGATACAGTTTAACACTAAACCTTCTTGTTTTTGATTCTATTCTCCACAATAACGGTAAAGCATTCAATACCCGAACAATTTTATGGCGGTATAGCACGGAACAATATTAGTATTGGCATTGCAGTGTATAATTTCATAGAACTAGCTTGTTTTTTATGTGAAGGTGAAACTTTTGGAAATGCTTGAATCAAGGTCTCCTAATATTTTGCTTCGTATGCCACCTATTATTTAAGAATTAAATTTATAACCCTTCACATTTTATACAATTGTGAATAGTTAGCATTTCACGAGCTTAAGTTTATATATTTTTGCACATTTAAAAGCTTGTTATGAAATAAGGGAAAATTAACTAAAATATTGAAAGATGGTAAATTCAATTAAATAATTTATTGACAATAAATAAAAAAAGAGGGGTATGAGGTGAGTGGTGAAGTGAGTAGTAAAAAGTGTTAGTGTAGGTAATCTGGTGAAGGGAGCGTGGATCAGCGGCGAAGATCCGTTCCGTCAGCGCGGAATTAGCCGTCGTCAGCGTAAAGGTTCTGGTGACGGGGCGTGTGTCTGCGACGAAGTTCTGGAGCACCTTCTTGACGAGGCGTCTCTCGATGTGTCGAGCAGATAGTTCTTTCGGTAGTACAGAATGGATCAGCAACTCGGGCCTCCAGATGAAAACTCGTAGGCAGCTTCAGGAGAAAATATTTCCGTCCAGGTTTGAAGGTGGTGAAGGAGGTTTAGTTAGTATTTATTTATTGACGTTTAATTACAGCCAAAATGGTGTCAAATGACTTTGTGACCGTAACTGTAGAAGAGTTCCCGCGGTAATCGACCCCGGGAAATAGGCCTTTTAAGAATTTAACTAGCTCTGTACGAGCTCCACAAAGCTAACTTAGGCAACTGTTGCCGTTGAAGTGATGCAGAACTACACAGACAAGGCTTTATATAGGTACTTGAAGGCGAGCTCAAATTTGGAAGTAAATGATTTCAATTTAGAACCCTAAAAATTCAAAAGAAACAGAGTTTCAATATCTAAAAATGACAAACAGTGAGTCGAATTTCATGAAGAGCATCAAATATAATCATGACACCGAAGAAAAACTGAGATGTCAAATCTGTCAAAACAATTAAAATAAGCGATAAATTATGTAATATTTTATAAATAAGTGCTTAAATATCATTAGAAATAGTAAAATATAAAACGGAAAACTAAGAAAGCTACAGGTAAGGGTTTACAATAGTGTAAATAAGCACAAACATAGGATGAAAGTTCGTAGAGATTTGGATAAGTTTGTATTACAGAATTTTAATGATTACAGGTATAAAATGGAACGTCCATAGTCATAAAATGGACAAAGTGAAGAATATAAATGGAATAAACTTAAAAGATGATCGATATGAACATAATTAGTGATATGGAACCAAGGAATGATAAACATACGAATGGTTAGTCACGACAAGCTGTTCAATTTTTTAAGAAACATTGAAGTCGGACTGCAGTTAATTAAATATTAACCACCCGACTTCAATGTTTAACAGCTTTTAAGACAAGTATTATTTTTTAGTGCCATTTTGAGTTTTGGGATAACAAACATCACGCGTACTTAATACATAATGAAAAATTAACGACTTATATGGTTTTCTCTTAGATTCCATTGCCAGATCTAGACCAAATCAATGGTACCACACGGCAAGCACTAGCTTTCAAATAAAGAAAGAATCATCAAAATCGGTCCACCAAATAAAGTTATGAGACAAACAGAAAACAGTCGAATTGAGAACCTCCTCCTTTTTTTAAAGTAGATTAAAAAATTACTGAAATTAAATGAATTTTTAAAAATGACCTATTTGTAACTAATTATTATATTTTATCAATTTTCCATTCACAATGCTATAATTAAAAATGTTTAAAACATTCACCAGCCCTAGGTACTCTGAGATGGGACTCGAACCCTATATAATGAATTCTTATTGAAAGTTACAATATTGGTTATAGACACACCAAACCAGACTAAACTTAAGAGAGCTGCGTTATTTAATTACAAAGTTACCATTTGTTTAAAAAATTCCCGAGTCTCTACGACTAAGTAAAAAAATCCCAAGTATCTACGCCTAAGTAAAATATTACCAAGACTCTACGACTTACGAATTTTTTACCGGATGAAATCTTAATACAAAAATATTAAATCGTTAAGAAGTGCTTCTGGACTTGCTTTACAATTTATAAGTGTTAACGACATCTTATTCCCTCAGACAAGTTTTGCGGATTGGACTTTTCACTTATATTTTTCTAATATAATTTACAAAAATATAACTCATAATAACCAGTCACCGGTATAGACTAAATTACAAGTAAACTCTCACCATTATTGCTAATAACAAACTAAAATATTTGCCTCTTGTAAAATAGTGCGGAGGAAAGCCTCTTATGGCTGCAATTCATTTAATTGTCACCCTAAACCCTTGAGTTATGTCAAAGGACCATGGTTCTTGATGAGGCACAATTTATAAGTTTTAACACAATTCGCTCGCTGTTTAGATATACCATCTCTTATTAACAGCGAGATGGATGGTTAAAATTCAATATAAATATTGATTATTTCTTATAAATAAAAACTATACGAAATTAACACACCGATTATTTTTTTTTTAATTCAGAGAAGATAAGCTAGGGAAGGGAACTTTTTAGTCAATTAAAGGCATAATATTTATAATATAAAGAACCGCAGTATTAGATTTCTAACTTCTGTATAAAATTATGTAAGTAAATATTTCTAAAAAAAAGTTTTTATTCATAAAAATCAATATTAATATGTATGTTTTATTCATATAAAACATACATACTAATATTAATTTTTAAAGTTACTCATATGAATCTCATGATTCATATGAGTAACTTTCTAGCATAAAACTTATATAAAGTTTTTATGATAATTGTAATGGTTTGCTCATAGTTAAACACAGGATCCTTCGACTCTTTCTCTCTGTAGCTTTCTTTTTTCTCTTTACGCACAGGTTTATCTCGTCAACTCTATAAAATCTGATTTCTCGTTTCTTATCAGTTCAACATCTAGTTTTGCTTTAAAAATTAATATGGCAAATAAATTGGACAGATGATTTATCATGAATATATATTTGCTTTCAACATCAATTTTTGTTTATCCTGGTTACATCTTATATTATTTATTTTACTCAAATGATGTGACAGGCCTTAACATGCATGAATTAACAATATAAAGTGGTGAAATAGCACAAAAAACATGCACTGGCAAATAAAAATTATATCTAAATAACTTTCCTTTCATTTCAATAAGGCTATAAAGGATGCTACATCAATTAGACATTCAAGGTAAATCAGATGTAAGACACCTTAGTCGTGATCGTGCACGTACAATAATTTCTATTTTTATGTTCAGGTTCTGAATTCATACCGACCGCATATTGCAGTGGCACTATCATTAACCACTGTCGCTTGCAGCTGTTGCCTGTTGCTAATTGATTGCGCCGAATTCGGAATTGCACCTTTATAGTGCTCGCATATCTATCAGAGCCAAAGGAGGCGGAC